TTTTTTTTTTTTTTTTTTTAATGTTTGTTTATTTTTGAGAGAGAGACAGGATCTGAAGCGCGTTCTGCACTGACATCAGAGAGCCCGGTGTGGGGCTCGACCTCATGAACTGTGAGATCATGACCTGTGCCTAACTAAGTTGGACGCTTAACCAACTCGCCACCCAGGTGCCCCTCTGCAGCTAGCTTTTAAAGAATGTTCAAGCAACATGAGAAAAAAATACCCAAGTTCTCCATATTCAGACCCACACCTGACACTTAATACTCATTATGTGAATGCATAAGGTATTGGCCAGATAAGAAAATCCAGGTCCAGTCTTTCTCTGTATTTTGTACTCTTAATGGTTATTTTGTACCCTTGATTTCCTGGTTTATAAAGATGGAAATATTTATCAATAGAAGGTGAGAGTGCAGGGAAAGAATGGAAGCTAAGTCCTGTCCCACACAGTACAGTGATACTATTCTCTGTAGCAGGAGCTGAGGCTAAGATTTTTTAATTTCTTCTCATTGGTTATTTTTGAAACATGATTTCAAGTTTCGTACCTGTGGTCAATCTCATTTCCTTTTCTACCTCATTCTCTGATGAGATGTTTTGTTTGTAGATGCCTTCCTTCAACAGTGTGATTTAAGAATACCTATCTGGTTTTAGGCGCCCCGTTTTCCCTTAGTTTACATCAGAATTCTAGATTGTTGGCTGGAAGAATGAATTCAAGCCCGCGGATGTTAGCAGATGTTATTTGGCTCAAGCTGGTTTTTGTTGTTATTTAATTGGGTATCAGCATTTAAAAATGAGAAATTTTTTACCTAAAAAAACAAGGCTCCGTGGCAAATTGGATTTGGCCGCACAGATTTCTTTAGTGGAAGAAAGATGCCTGCAGCAAGGGGGCCGTGCCGCACGTTAAATGGTTAAATGAGGCAGCAGCTCCGGGCTGCCAGGGTCCTCCCTCCCGCCGGTTGTGTCCCCACCACCCAGACAGGTTCCTTTGCCCCCCCCCCCGTTGTTTCACACACGGTGAAGAAAAAAGTTAACAATCTTACACTTCAGCGTCTTTCAAAGTGGGAAAATGGGAGATGAAGAATTCCCCCCTGGAAAGCTGGAAGAGAACATTTGCAGAAGACCAAAATCCCTACGTTCTAGATCTATATTCCTCTTATTACATTATCATTTAATGCATATTATCTGCCCAGTCAGCCTCTCCTACAGGTTCATTCTCTTGATTTACCTTGGGATTCAAAAGTGTCGCATTTTACATCGAGGAGAATCAGAAATATGCAAACTGGAGGTTCTTAAATGAAGGGAAAATACATTTTATGTAACGCATTTGAAATGATGTTTAAAAAAATTTTTTTTTAACGTTTATTTTTTTTTGAGACAGAGAGAGACAGAGCATGAACGGGGGAGGGTCAGAGAGAGGGAGACACAGAATCTGAAACAGGTTCCAGGCTCTGAGCTGTCAGCACAGAGCCCGACACGGGGCTTGAACTCGCAGACCCCGAGATCATGACCTGAGCTGAAGTCGGCCGCTTAACCGACTGAGCCACCCAGGCGCCCCTGAAATGATGTTTAAGAATGGTTTGTAAGACTTACCAGAATCGTGTTTGCCCTCTTAATGCTTAATAGCCTTTGAGCTTGCTCAGATTTAACTTCAGCATTTGCTTCTTTTATGATGTGTACTTGAGAGGGCCACCTAGTGGTTTCTTTCTGGTACAGCAGTCTTACCACTGCACTACATTTTGATCTGATTAGAAGCTAATATTTAAATTGTTTGTGTACCAAATGCATGTGAGTTCTCCCTTCTGTATAGATTCAACTGTAGATAAATGGGTGTTTTTACAGTATCTCTATAATTATCATATTTTGTTTTTAAACAGAAGAAGCAGACTACAGTGCCTTTGGTACAGACACACTAATAAAGAAGAAGAATGTTTTGACCAACGTATTGCGTCCTGACAACCATAGAAAAAAGCCACACATAGTCATTAGCATGCCCCAAGACTTCAGACCCGTGTCTTCTATTATAGACGTGGATATTCTCCCAGAAACACATCGTAGGGTTCGTCTTTACAAGTACGGCACTGAGAAACCCTTAGGATTCTACATCCGGGATGGCTCCAGTGTCAGGGTAACACCTCATGGCTTAGAGAAGGTCCCAGGGATCTTTATATCCAGACTTGTCCCCGGAGGCCTGGCTCAAAGCACAGGACTGTTAGCTGTGAATGATGAAGTCTTAGAAGTCAACGGCATAGAAGTTTCAGGGAAGAGTCTTGATCAAGTAACAGACATGATGATCGCCAACAGCCGCAACCTCATCATCACGGTGAGACCAGCAAACCAGAGGAACAATGTTGTCCGGAACAGTCGGACTTCTGGCAGCTCTGGCCAGTCCACTGATAACAGCCTTCTGGGCTATCCCCAGCAGGCAGAACCGAGCTTTGAGCCAGAGGATGAAGACAGTGATGAGGACGACATTATTATTGAAGGTAACGGAGTGCCGCAGCAGATTCCGAAAGCTGTTCCCACTACCGAGAGCCTGGAATCACTGACGCAAATAGAACTCAATTTTGAATCTGGACAGAATGGTTTTATTCCTTCTAATGATGTGAGCTTAGCCCCCATCGCAAGTGGCACAGGTACAGAAACACGTGCTCCAGATCAAAAACTCTTAGAAGAAGACGGAACGATCATAACGCTATGAAACCTTTGTGTGAATGTCACCATAGGGACTTGTAAATTCGGCTAGTTTAAAGCATATATACCTCTGAACCAGTGACCTGGAGTAGGCATGAGAAAAATAATATTGCAAGCTTAAAATGTTATTAAAATAGTAGTTTGATAATTGTTAATACAAACTTTGGTTTGTCAGAGGTGAGTTTAAGTCTAAAAGGGGCCTTTGCTAATGAAATTATGTGCTTTTGCTATTTTGTCTACAGAGAACTGGATGTTAGGGCACGTTCTCAGAACTACGAGAGGGCCAGATCATTTCCGTTCAAAGTGGTTGTGTATTTAACCTGCTGTGCAGAGCCCAGTTAGCTTTTTCTTTTAACTATATATTTTTTTAATTCTAATGTGAAGAAGTCCGATTCTGTCCTTTGGTACCTTGGGGACCTCAGCTCCTATGTTTCTTGTATTTTATCTTGATTTTTTTAATGTTATTCTTCCGTTGCTAATGGTTACAAGTAATTTTTTCAAATGCCTTCTTTCCCCCCTAATTTCTAAGAGATCGAACCAATTGACTGTTTTTAGGAATTGCTTCCTAGGTCATAAAGCATTGAAGCCATGGTCTTGAATTAAGAAACTGTAACAGTTGTCCAGGTTAAAAGTTTGTTCATCCTATAGCTTTCCTATTTACGAACTCATTCCATATGTGTATGACTTAACGTTGTAAAAGGCAGTTCCATCAACTGGTGATACTTGAGACCCCCTTAATCTCTTCTGTCTCATTCCCATCTCATTGAAATCATTCCTTTTGTCGTTAGTGTTTTGTTGGCGTGCTTTTATACTCTTTTCACGTATTTGATTAGTATGAATCATTTTGGATTAAAAAATGCACCCAAATTAAGAGATTTTTACACACAGGACAAACTTGTGCACTTTTTGTATGAGATACGTGGGTTTTCCTTACTGGGATTTCTAGGGACACTGCCTACACTTTATGAGAAATAATATAGTATTCACCTTGGACAGGTAGCATTTGTTGCTATTAATTTTATGAGGCTATTTATTATTTTCCGATGCACCCACTTAGGACAAGTTGAAGGTAAGGCTGCTAGCTCCCAACCCTCGCCTGATTCCACTGGACAACGTGCACAAGCACCGCTTGTATATAGAAACTAAGAAGAGTGTGGGGCGCGCACACGTTCCCTGTGGCTTACGGATTTTCCTCTCTGAGTTATTTATTATTAATTTTATGGTAGGGCCAGGACAGATGGATACCTTTATAACAACTGTGTGCTATTGAAACAATGAAGAATTTAATGGCTCCGTTTTGAAGGATATTTTCTCTCTGGTAAAAACATATGAAGAAGTCTGGATTAGATGAAGGTGGCTGGACTCAGAACACTTCATGTATTTTGCTCGCGGCACCACTAAACTGACAACCGCACAACATTATGTGACGCTGTACTTTTTCGTTGAAGTCACCCAAGTTCTTCCACTTCTGTACCACTATTTTTTAACGGCATTCCAGCTTTAACATTCTGTGAGTTGATATAAATTTGACTCTTGAATGGGAAAATGTTAACACATAGGTTAAATTTCATGCATATTTTAAGCGGTGCAGGGGTTTAACATTTTAAGTAAAAATCCTTTCACACACTACCTCTCTCTCCTTTTTTTTTTTTTTTTTTTTTTTTTTTTTAACAAAGTTTTAACATCAGAACTTCTCTCCTGGGAAAAATACTTCAGGGCTTGACTTTTTGTACACATTTTAACTATAAAGTACAGATTTGTCTTGTATGTATTCACGAAAATGGAAATCAAAGCTGCTAGTGCTTTTTATTTTAATTATCCTGCTAAGGGTATATACGAGTGGTGTTTTAAGCTAGATTTCTCATTTAAATTATTGGTGACATAATTGATTACTAGACATATTGTAAAGCCAGTATAGACCTTGGTTATACAATAAAATGTCAAATCATTGGCAGTCTCAATTATTTCAGGTGTACCTTATTAACAAAAATATCAGTGGACTCCACATAAAATTTTGTAGTACTAAATGTCAAGCCTAACTGTGAATTTTGTTCTGTATCTTGAGTAAATTTATGATGTTCTCATGAGCTATCAACAAAAATATATGTACTTTTGTGAACTATGAATTTTCTAATTAAATTTTACATGCAACATGATTTTTACATGAATGATACTTTGTTTAAACTATCAAATGTCAGTATTTTACTACAATTTTATTATAAAATGTACATTATCACTAAATGAACTTTGATTTTAAAAATCAAATTAGTTTTAGTTGTATATTATTTTTTACAAATAAAGATAGACTTGTATAAAGGATACTTTCTTGTTTGCAAATATATGAATAGTCCCCCAACAAATATTTACCAAGCACTCACTATATAAAATGAATAGGAAGAAAAATGCTAAGCTTAATAACAGTATTCTGGCTTCCTTAACTTCTAATGTTTAAAAGATAAACACCAAATTGTATACACATTGACTGCAACCATGTCTGAGCATATGATTATGTATAGGAAGATAGCATTTAAAATGTAGCTATTCGGATTGTGTGAGAGATTGTGATATTCATTCAGAGTCATCATTTGGATTGTTAGAGATTATTTGAAACAAGACAAAAGTAGTTTGTAATGGGACAGTTTATCTTCTGAGATTCAAATTCACTTAGTTACGCTTTTTATTACCACCCTGTATGGCACTGCCTGTACAGATTGGATTCATTCCAGTTTAAACTGGACCATGGAAGAACCCTGAGATAAATCAGACCCTCCTCCTGAGCCCTTTCTGATCCCAAATTCATCACTGTCATTAGCTTAGCTGATCATGTGTGCTGACTCTGCCAACCAGTGGCGAGTATGATCCTTCTGATTCCTTCCCTCGACTTAAAAACATTGAAAATCCTCTGAGTAAAAACTCAATAATCATATACATAGATCTCTTCACGTCATTGATTGCTACAGATTGGTACAGATCGATTTCATTCAATGTGTGATGTTTATCTCTGGGTGTCAGTGTCCATGAAACAATGGTGTGGAACTAAAATACCCCTTTAACCCCCCAAAATATGACCCCAGTGCTGTTTGTTCTTAAATCCCTTCCAAGTTTCTAGTTCTGGGTAAAGAATTGAGTTTGAAGGAAAAACATAGAAGTTTGCAAGGAAAAATTAGCCCCTCTGTTCTGATTGCGTGTGTTAAGTTGCTGGAGCTAATGGTTAGCGACAACTGGTTATTTGGTTTTCCCATCTTTTGGATTGATGAAGTTTAATTGTGGGTGATGAAGCTTTGAGAGTGTGTATGTCGTGATTTGGCAGCTGAGTTCCCAAACAGAGTGCGTTACTTAGAAGACATTGAAAGTCTTGACTTTGTATTTGTGACAGTGTATCATTTAGTGATGGTGGCTGTTACCTGTGGGTAACTGGTGCCTCCTGGTTCCGGTGAGATCACGTATGGGCTACCGAAGAGCTGTAATTGGCTGGATGTCTGACTGTCTACTAGAAGGTAAATAGAAAACTAATTTGTTAGATTCAATAACTTCAAAGTCCTAATAAGTATATAGCTTTTAGTTCCCTAAAAACCGTTAAGATTTAGATAACATTTTAAAAGATAATGTTTTTCCTAAATGTTATAAAATTTGTGTATTTTATAAATTAATATTAAAATTCAGTGGAGTTCATATTTTATTGACAATCCGTATTTAGCTTTCCCATTTTAGGAAGCTCTCTTTTGGAAATGGTATTCATTACAACACCAGTGAGTGTTCTTCATGTAATAGGAAATAATTATTTTCTACTTTATTATAATTAGTTCCTTATAATCCCAAGGAATGGATAACAGAGTTACTTAATACAGTGTTAGCAAAGGTAACTTCAAAATTTTTTTTTTCATTTTACGAATAATAGGTAAATTCATTCTCCTTATTGTAAAAGAAAACTGAAGTTCCTTTCTGGCCACTAAGCATACTTATCTATCCTATACTTTGTTATAGAAAAGGAATTCAAGCATTTAAAATAAGTGACTCTAAGGGCGCCTGGGTGGCTCAGTCCGTTAAGCAGCCAACTTCAGCTCAGGTCATGATCTCATGGTTCATGACAGCAGAGAGCCCGCTTTAGATCCTGTGTCCCCCTTGCTGCCCCTCCCCTGCTCGTGCTCTCTCTCTCAAAAACAAATAAACATTAAAAAAAAAAAAACCTAAGTGACTATAATTTATAATCCAGATAGGGACACGTGAGTGACTGAGTGTGCTATCAACTCTATGGACAGGGCGATCGGGGTGAGCCGCAGGTGTCCCAGGTAAATTGTAACGTGAGTCACCCTATTAAAGATACTACAGTAGGATGGCTTTCAAACATTTTTTTAAACCTGTAACAGTAAGAAATGCATTGATTGTGATCGAACAAATATATAATTGCAAGAGTCACAAAGTAAAACTTCATTACGTGAAAAATGCTCTGATTTCCTGTTCCATTCTTTAAAATGTTTGTTGGGACCTCCCCAAACAATTTCAGAATGCGCTAGTTTGAAAAACACTTGTGAAGCACGTTGCTTTCCACTTAAAGAGATTTGCCATAGAAAATACTAGTATTCTTCTTAAGGGAGTTGGCAGGAGCATTGTATTGCTCGCTTTTATATTTTGAAATAATTTCAGGCGTGGGCAAGAGCTGCATGAAAATATGGCTTATACCCTTCACCCAGAGTACACCCACATTTGCTTTATCTCTCTGTAGTTTCTCCTGAAACATCCGAGATTTGGTTGCAGAGATCACAGCCCCTCAACTCCTTAAAGACAAACACATACCTCTCCCAAACATGGATATTCTGTTACACATTCCTTTATACAACCAAAGTTCATTTATCAAATTCAAAACATGTAACAGTGATACAACAGTATCTAATACAGGAGCCATTCTAGAGTCTCACCAATTGTCCTCCAGACAACCTTTACAGAAAATTTCCCTTGATCAGGATCCAGTCCAGAACCCTGCATCCTCATCATTAGATCCACCGTATG